GCAAGCAGTGCCCCTGAGCCTTTTCTCAAGATACTGCTCTAAGAAATCATAATCGAACACACACTGGTGAAAAGCGATTTCAGTGCAATCAATGCCCCCAAGCCTTTGCTCAAAATTCTCATCTACAACGCCATACTCTAGTGCACACTGGTGAAAAGCCATTTAAGTGCAAGCAGTGTTCCCAAGCCTTTGCTCAAAATTCCCATCTAGAAAGCCATAATCGAATGCACACTGGTGAAAAGCCATTTAAGTGCAACACTGTTCCAAAGCCTTTGCTCGAAATTCATATCTGAGAAGTCCTAATCAAACACACACTGGTGAAAAGCCATTTAAATGCAAGCAGTGCCCCAAAGCCTTTGCTAGGAATTACCAACTGCAACTCCATACTCTAACCCACATAGGTGAAAAGCCATTTAAGTGCAAGCAGTGCCCTAAAACCTTTGCTCAAAATTCCCAGCTGCAACACCATACTCTCCTGCACACTGGCAAAAAGCCATCTAAGTGCAAGCAGTGCCCCTAAGCCTTTGCTCGAAATTCCCACCTGCAAAGCTATAATCAAACACACTGGTGAAAAGCCATTTAGGTGCAAGCAGTGCCCCAAAGCCTTTTCTCATAGTATCAATCTGATTAATCATTGTCAAACACATTGTGTTTAAAAACCATACAAGTTGAAACTGTGCCCCCAAAACTTTGCTCAGAATATGAGTTTATCTGCCAGAACCAGATGCACATTTGCAGAGTGCCTTTCAGTTGACCTTTAAGTTGAGCTTGCTCCACACTATTGTGCACCACAACATTTCTTGCTACCATTTGGGACACTGCTAGTTGAATGCCCTTCACACTGCCCAGCAGGTTTTTCGAATGTATTGGCACTGTTCCCATTTTGAATACAGTGTAATGCCCCTTCGGTACTGCACTGACGAAACCTGTGGATAGTTTGGAACTGGACTAACATGCTCTTACTCAAAGTGTTTTCACATTCGCATCTCAGTCAGGTATTTAAATGACACCTGTTTTTAGATATCACTTTGTCTTGTGTTTTATAGCTTCCAGTATTGTCTTGTTCATGTTCCTGGCATTTGTTTCTGTATTGCCTGGCTGTCCGCATCAGAATTTTCTGACCGTAGGTGTCATTGTTTGCTGGAAAATTCCTTTTGCTTTTTGTTTTGTGTAACGCAGGAGAGTAGTTTCTTTAATGGCTTACATTCTTATATTTTTAATAGAATGAGGGGGATCAGTGAAGCAAAGTCTCAAAGAATACTAACTCAGCTGTGGATTGGCTTTGGTTACAGGATCTTTTGAATCGTTGTTCAATGTATGTTTTTTTTGTATTGTGTAGGGAATTTAGAAGGAAATCTTTATTGCATCTATTTTTTTGTTTTTATGTTTGTTTATTTTGAATGAAATCTGCAGATGATAAATATGTAACCAGACTTCTCTTTTACTGTTCCTGATATAAAGGTTGACAGTGTTAGCTTTTTTTTCTTCCATTGCGTATCTTAGCTGAAGCAAATCTGCTACGGGCAGAGTAGCTCTTTAGAAAGTTCCCATTTCGCCATCCTGCTTGAAGGTGGGGTCTCACTGTAGCAGTTAAAAGAGTGGTGGCTTCTGGTGTTGGTTCTGACAGTATCCCAGTTCCTGCCCTCTAGCAGGTTTATACATCATGTTTTGAGTGTGGATGTTTGATGCATGTGAAGGCCTTGCACTGCACTCCCAAATCGTGTGAGAAAGAGACTTGGGACTGTAGGAGAACTTTGGACCGATTTTATTGGGCTGATACTCCTCAGCACAGGCACCTTCCTAATTGCGTATTGTTAACCGACAGTTGCTTCTTTTCAACCGTCACTACCTAGCACTTGCGTGACTGCAATATTTTGTGGCACCAGGCACTCGTTCCTGGGGCCAGTAGTTGTCTCGCTTTGCCGGGATTTATAAATTGGATGTCGTCGTACAAGTTGCAGTGCTTCTTGCTCATTTTCCTATAGCTCTAGAAACACTACAGCTAATATATGGTTTGGAGCATGTGGAAAATGACAACAGATGCATGTACAAATTCTAATAACAGTCTCGTTCGTTTGCAATTTGTGCCGAGTTGAGAGGTGTTTGGCCATCCGTGGATTTGCTGAAAGCGAGAAAGACATGTAGGATCACTGGAAAAGTGAGAAAGTCAGTGCGTTTCTTTTCAATGTCCAGCCTCCAGCACGTGCTTTATGTCTTCCGGCGTACTTCAACAATGTGTGCGCGTTCAGGAAAGACAGCAGTTGATGTTGCTCCATTTATCTTATGCTCACTAGACAAAATCAATTCAGACACTTCCTGCTCTTTAATTTTAGTTGAGAATTCAGAAGTTAAGAAAACCTCACTTTCATTCATTTAGGCTGTACAAAAAAAGATGTAAACACCAGAAAAAAAAAAGATAGGCGTTTAAAGGTCTTGAAAACGTACAGCTGTCGGAAAAATTATAAAGAGCTTTGACACTAAAGTGGAGAGGAAAGCATCATATATTTTACATCTTACTCAAACTCGGCGTTCTTAATGCTCGTGTGTAAGGCACCAAAGCAAAAACCATAACACCAAAACAAACAAAAAATTAAAGAAGCTAGACTTTTTCACGAGTGTGAGATAGGATGAAACTTATTCTTTTCCACAAACCAAGCATGCAAAGCGAATGAGGAATAATAATTTTCACGCTGAATAAAGCATATCTGCTGCGAGCGCCAGGCCTCGGCCAGCCGTCGGATGGCTGTGATCCGGCCCACAGTTCCCTCACCCAACCCCCAGAACCTTCCTATACCTACCATTATACTTCAGCCTCTGTCGCACTTACTATCAAGTTCACAACTGCTTTCTCCCTGAGAAATGAAAACTGACGTCAACGTTTTAAAGCTATTTTGGAAATTGAAGGCAGGTGGCACCGCGTGCCGCGACCCCCGCACCATGGTCATAAAGATTATGCATACTAACTCTAGAAAAAAAGGTCCGCCATTTTCCCATGCATTCTGGCTGCCGTTAGCGGCGGGGCATGGGGGCAGACCTTCGGCGTCCCACACATGGTTACCAACTGCCTTCGATTTTACGATTATAATTATCATCAGAGCAGTTTAATGAACTTCAACAATCCACATACTTACCGGTGGAAAGATATTCGCGTTCCTTTCGAAGCTTTTTGCGTAGCGCGCAGGTGTACGGCCTCCTCAACGCAAAACTAAACCAGATCTTCGCGATTACCATTGCGACCGTCCTTCAGCTGTCAACATTGCTTTCTTTCTCTCATGTTACGTCGCTCTCTTTCGCGATCTTTCACTCGGGACTCCGGATGTCAGTGCACGGGATTTGCCACTTTTCCTCACTCAACTAACTATTGTGACTAAAAGGAGAAGGTGTGACTATCGGAGGAGGCAAAGCCGTCCCGCTGCGTGATGATGCCGCGAGTGGCGCTGTCGTCAGCAGCGCGATCAGCCCGTTCCGTGTCCACGCTGTCGTCTGCACGTTGTCGCGGTCAGTTCAGTTTGCTCTCTGAGCCCCGATGTAACACTTGTGTCACAAGAAATCATAGACTGAGATTTTAATTTTGTTTGACCGACGTAGTATGTTATTTGGGTATTCGCAACTCTCTTGAGTTTTAATCATTGGCCGATCACGGAATCTTGCACGCAGGGGCAATCTAAGTACTTGCCTTTACATTTTGATGAGTCAGTGTGGAGCGAGATGGGATTGGAAAATTTTCAGTGTCGTGCTACAAGCGAAGGATGATAATGACTTGATTTGTCATTGTTTAATGTTCACGTTTTCTTTACTGCACTACTTAAACTGTTGTCGAATAATCCAGTGGTACAAGCGAGTTTATGCATATTAAATATGTGAAATTGAGTACCCGAGAAAGCAGAATTTTACTTAAGTTAAAGGGATACTGAACCGAAATCTGGATTTCGCAAAGTAAGGCTGTAGAAGTGTTGAACGGGACGCTACGAACCCCAAAACATCACTAGTACATCGATATCTCATACAGATGGCCATACTTTTGGAAAAGAAGGGCGAGATCAAGCGAGTTCTTTGACGTAACTGTCCTCCGGGAGAATTTGAGAAGGAGGAGAAGCGGCCTCGCTTCTTTCCTCCTCGCTTCGGTTCACCAGCTTGACGGGACGTAGCGAGGAGAGAGAATGGGGATCGTGACGTGCCTTGTCTCGTCGGCCTCGTCGGCCGAATTCAATCGCGCACTTCTTTTCCAAAAAATATGGCAATCCGTTATATATATCGCCGTATGAGTGATATTTTTTGGTTTTGCAGCTTCCCGCCTATCCGCCCGGCCTTGTTTAGTGAGCTCGAAATTTTGGTTCAGTATCCCTTTAAGGCTTTGTGTTCTTGCGTGCAGGTAGTCGATTCTTAGAGCTTTGTATATGTCTATTGGGACTTTTCTCGAAAATACTATTTCTAACAGTTTCATAAATTTGTGTATATAATTGATAGCCTTTGCACATCACACCAAAATAAAGGGTGAATCGCACAATATAACATACTTTAACGTCAATCCAAAGAATGCATGAACACTTTAATAAGCACAAAACCGAAAACAGGGTTGTGAAAATCTCGCTAACAGCGCGAACATGAGCCGGCAGTCAGTCTCATAAGTCAGGATTTCTCGACAACAGAACGACTATGTAAACAATTGAGTGGTCAAAAATTTATTTATTCAAAATATCCCTAAAGGCCCTCTGTAGGAGGGTGTTTCATAGGGGGGGGGAGGAGCAAACATATTACTCTACACACAGAAAAACAAAAGGCATACAAGGCAATATAACAACAAGGAATAAATAAGAATGCTAAGTATACGGAGGGAAAGCCGTCTGCTCTTTCGCGCAGGCCGGTGGCGTGACGTCACCTCGCCGCGCTCTGATTGGAGGATGGCTCCGGGCGGGAGCTGGCGGGAGCTCGGGGGTAAACAAAGCGGTGTCGTCTTTTCTCCGCAGCCATTGCGGAAGGCCTTTTCTCTGGCTGAAATCCACTGCTAGTGCTTGAACGAAGACGCGGCATACGGAAAAAAAGAGACCGGAAATACCTCGAAATGTACGTTACTTCGTTTGACGCGAAAGAATTTACCCTGGGAGCATACGAAGCACCAATATGCGTCCCGGTCTCCGGCGGTCGGATGTTGATGTGAGTCCCCCCAACGTCAGCACGGTGATGTGCGACGCGAGTGAGCCTTTCTACTTTTTGGCGGAGACCCCTTTTCGCCAGCAAGTGACTCGGTGTCTCCGTGAAGCACCGAAGTGTAGCTACAGCCCTCTTCGGCGAGCTGAACGGGCAGCCGAGCTTTCGAAGGCCGATCTCCCGCAGCGCTGGAACCCGGAGAACCGCGCCATGGCGCTCGCTGAGGTGAGTTACGTCGTTTCTGTACAGTTCGCATCATTCACAAACAGTTGTACGTGAAAGGAGTATAGCAAAGTAAAACGGAATGTTACGAAAAAGCAGCGGATTAGGCGATCGGTGTGGTACGACCGAGCCGAGTGCGCAGTTGTCTCTCTTAGTCTGTCCCCCCATCGACAGATTGTATGCCACTTGTCCAAACAGATAGTGTGGTAGGATATCTGTATGTGGGTCATAAACTTCGCAGTCACGACTCAGTGTTCGATGGTAGCCTATTTTAGCAGTGATAGCGCCGTGTCTAAGTGACATCCGATGTCACTTCATGCCAGTGGCGTAGCCAGGGAGGGGATGTTCAGTACCTCGCACCCGAAATCCCCCCGGCCCCAAGAAAACCTGGCTACGCCAATGCTTCACGCGCGCGATAAAGCGCCGTCCTAGGGTGTTAAACTCAAGACGAACTGTTCTTCTGACGCGTGTTCCATCAGTCGCTCGCTGCTGATTTGTTTCACCATAAAGTGCCAGTGAGGCAAACGCTGCGGGGGCGAGTAGCATGTTTTCGTACCTGCCTACTAGTTTTCTGAGGTCCGTTAACCTGCAAATGCTTGTGTTCCCCCTACCCTATCATTCCAACAGAATCCACCGGCTGCCGGGCTACTGAAAGGGCCCTCTGCTCGGAGGACATGCTGAGGGCCCTGTATAATGCCCTCGGCGCCTGTGCGACTTCCGGGGGTCTGCGTTTCACGGCCCCGTTACCAGCTGGGAAGTTCTCCATGGAGGTAAGATTATGAAAGAAACCACTCTATGCACTCAGCGGTAGCTTTCAGAAGTTGTGGAAGCCAAATACAGATGCTGATGTCTTTAGTAAAAACAAAATCAAATTATTACTTTCTTTATGACTTATGCATCTCTATTTTGCAAGCCACATATGGCAGGAAAGTGTCACGTGATCTCAACCTGGTTTCTCAAGGCACTGAAAAGCTACCTGTTGCAGACCACTGTACCATTGTCATTTATTATATGTTATTCCCTGGCACTGGGGGATTGGTGGCCGAGGGGGCTTGCACGCACCAGCTCGGAGAATGTGGAGTGAAAGCTCGCGCTGCAGAACCCAGAATCGTGTGTTCAATCCCCACATTTGCCCGTTTCGATCTGGATGAGCGCTGTATTGGCGTGCGGTCGTGTGTCACTGCTACGTGATGCACGTTAAGGGCCCCAGGCTAGCGGTCATCTACAGCTGGGAGACCCATCGCCCGTTGAGGCAGATCAAGTTCGAGACTGTATAAACATACACACAACCCGATTCCTTGGCTCGCTGCTGGTATTGCTGTGCTGATGTTTGGACGTTTTTTTCCTTGGTCGTTGAAATGACTACTGTGATGCTTGGGTGAAATAACCTGGTTAATTACCTCCTCGGCTGTAGAGTGTTGTTCACTTGTTACTCTCTCTTCTCCTCTGGTTAATGTAGCTCAGATAACAGTCATGCAGTTAGCCCGTTTCAAGTTCTCTCGACGCCACATCCTCACATATCTGGCCGATCGTCCTGCTTTCGCGCAAAACTCACACACCTCGTCTTCTTTGATACTCTCGAATGCGCCTCGGTCGCCCACTCCGCCGCTATGTTCAGTCCCGTGCCCACTGTTTTATGACAACCTCCTTGACATGACAAATCTAGCTTCTGTATTCAACCACCAATACGGGTTAGTGTTCAATTTGTAAACTTAATGTTTCAAAGTAACAGTACAAGCTTCCTCCAGCATCTACCAGCAACCAAGCAATGACAAAAACCAAAGCTTTAACTTCCAAGACTAACAACCCAGGAGTATGAGGACACGCTGGCCAACCCTGCTGAGGACAAGCGAGGAGTGGGACAAGCATGTAATCTCAGTATATGGAGAGGTGTCCTCGAAGTTCCCAGCTTTAAAATTGTGGTAGTGTTTGAGTTGGTTTAAGTTCAAGGAGTCTCAAAAGAGCAAATAATACAATGCTATTTATTTTGATTTGCATCCCTTGGATGTTGGCAGGTATTCGGTTTGAAGGGAATGGAATAGACATGTCCATTTATGCATTCTGCTGCTTAAAAAATAGGGTTTCACTGATTTTCAGTTGCTAATGGCATGGGAGGACAAATACGCTGCTCAAGAGTGTAACCGGATCGTTTGACTACTGGGACGACTCTTTTACAGGGGACGACATCCTGTCCAGCACCAGCTTCACCATCTGGGACCAAGTGCACGAGGGGTCGCACTGCAAGGAGATGAAAGGAGGGCACTGCGACCTTGAGGTCAAGCTTGTACATCTACCATTACAGTCCTGAATGGATGCCAATTGGTACTGATGACGTTATGAAGGTGAAACGTCCCTGGATCTAAAGGGAAAATTTGATTGAAGGCGAGCTGAAGTTGTTTCTGACTTTATCCTCTTACGACTTGAAAGTAATCTGCCTACTTCATGAATACCGAAGATGCAGAATTTGTTTCCGTAACTGTCCCACTTCAACGTAATGTGCACATTGAAACCTGTTCCTTTTCTTTTTCTGCTTTCCGGCGAGAGAAAAAAAGCCAACGAATCTCCCTTTTCCTTCTCGCAATGGGGAGGTGTGCAAGATTGATTGCATATTTTATATAAGCAATCAGTTTCATAAGTGAATGAAGATAAAAGCAGAATACATGTTCACAGATTATTTGTGAATTCTTAGACTTGCTGAAGTGAGTAGTTTATGTTCGAGTCATGTAATTATGAAGTCAAAACCAGATTTAGTGCATTTTTAAGAAGCCTTTTAGACCTGAGAGTTCTGTTTTGACTCAGCAATACACAACTCACCTTTGTTATTCCTATAGCACAGTCGAAACTATAAACATAAGCATGTCGCCTGACCAATGCTTGAACTGCCGTTAAATCGACGAAGTCTCTATCCTTCGAGAACAAGTGTCAACAGGGAATAGTCGAAAGATTAGGGTCAAGTATGCACACACATACTTGATTTCAAGCTTGCAGATTGAAATAATTGTTTATTGAATCATATCCATTCTTAAACCTGTTTGAGATTGTATTGGTTCGTATTCACAGTATATTTATTTTTCATATCAGCAAGGAATAATTTAGAGACAGATGTTGGTGTTCAGGCGTGATGCTTTTATTTTTGTAACATGCAAGAGGGCAAAAAATTAGATTCGGCTTTGTAAACTGATTTTTTTATGTATTTTTTCAAACAGCATAGCAAAGAATAATATAAGGGCTACAGCTGCGTGAGTTGCTACACCTGGCATCTCATTTGTTTTATAGCGTATACAGGTGACACACTATACTCCGTTTCTCGGTAACTTGGCAAACATTGCGACCCAATAAGAGCATCGGAGCCAGGCACGTGACAACACTCCACGGTCGAGTCCTCGTTATTGCCACAGCAAGAGCGCCATCTGCGACAAAACCTAGTTCTAGGCTTTGTTTCTTCTTCTTTTAGTAGTGTTGCCGTCGGATTCTTCGGACCGCAACACTACACGACACTGAAGAAAGACGAAGACATTTGTTACTTACTAGCGACACTTAATATAGATCAACACTTTTCTGAGAAAAACATGGCTTGTGATCGAAGTTCAAACAATTGTAGCCGTGAATCGACCACTTCCGCTCAAAACATCGCCCTAGCATTAGCACCCGCCACAGATTCATGGGCAAATTGAGCATGTGGCTGTAAGACGACAGCCGGTTCTGGCGGGTGGTTCTTGCATTTGGCGCGGTGACACGAACGCTCCTGTGACATGCGTCCATGTGCCTCGCTCCGACATTCTTACTGGGTCGCAGGAGCCGTAGCCTCCACAGTTCACCAAGCTATCGTGAAACAAAATGTAGACTAAATTGCCTGCATGCTAATGAAAGTAGCCTTGCCAGCATCATGTATTATGTATGAAATAGCGTATACTTCGAGAAAACAAATAAAGCCATTCAACCTTTCCACTGATTGTGTTTGTTCATTAGTAAAACTTGGTTCAGTGAACTTTACATTTCAGCATTAGCATGGACACAACAGGTAAGGTCAATCACAAGTGCTTTAGAGCAGTCCGAACAGTTTCCAAGTGGCTCATGCACAGCAGCTGACATGGTGTTACTCCCATGAAAGAGACGAGACCTCCTTGACGAATCTATTTCAGCCGCAAGGCACACCAAACTGAATATTGGCGTTTCTAGGAAATTGGAATCAACCAAACAATTCCATGGAAAGGTACACCAAAACAGCATTGGTGTGAGGGTGAGCCCTATCTGCAGCGACAATACTGAAGCCTCGCATGCCACCATCACTAACACATGCGAGTAGTCACTCAGCACCTGGCATGCTTGGGCATTGATGAAACAAGGAAAGATTATCAATGAGTGGACTAGGAATGTAGATCCAAATGGGAATGTCTTCACAATCGATGTATGACCACCATCTGTTGGTGCGTTTCTGGATGTCAACAGCCCATCTGGGACCTAGAAATGACAAATGATGTTAGAAAGTTTGTCACTTATACACTGGCTTTTGCTTGACCCAGTCTGCTGAGCGAACAAAAATATGTACATATTAGTCATTGTTTACTCCCGTGTCAATTCCATGGGGCGCTCGTTAGCTAGGCTTGGATAGTGCGCGATCTCCGAATTTTTATCTTGGTATGGGAACGAAAAAAGGGACAAGCGACACGCAAAAACACGTCAGACACTGACAGCGTCGATGTGGTTCCAAGATACACTGCGCAACACATTTCGCAGAAAGGCGGCATCGGTACTTCGTCGGCAATTCACTCATACTGGCTAATGTGAAACGGCAAATTTGTACTGTCCGAGTTGGTTCACTGTATTACACGTAACAGCCATTCATATTTCATTCCCGAAAGAAAAAAAAATGATCGCGTTTTTGCGGTAAGTTTTGAGCTGTGTGCTTTTCTACAGTGCCATGATTACAACCGTAGACTGCAACTACTATACCAAATACGATGTATGACTATACTGCGTCTCACCTAAGTGCGAACGAAGCGAAAATTACAAACGCGAGAACCTGATCAGCGCTTGCACTGCAAGATCGCACATGCATGGCAGCTATGATCAAAGCTCGGGATTCGCCCATGTAGATTTAACTTCGACCGCATTTAAAATGAAACGGAACATAGCTTATACGGCCTCCGTGCAGCTTCGAGTCGAAATGACGAGTATATATTCCTAAATATCACCTGCGAAGATAGGCTTCGGAGGATCGCGAAAACGCTACATTCTCGGCCGTTTTTCGATTAGTAGCGCCTATCGACTCCGCCACACAAGATTTATAAAGACCTGCTAGAAGGCAAAATCCGTCGTGTTCGTAAAGGAAGAACAAGATAAAAGGCAACTTACCGGTACAATCGGGCGGCGGTCTCGTAGTGACCGGCGCTACCGGCGTTTCAATCGCGAGGCTAGGCAAGCGCCTTCTTTTGATGCTCTTCGTCGTCTTCATCTTGGAATCTTCGAAATGCCTCTAGCAGACGACGGAGGAATCGTAAGGGGCACGAAGCTGCTCGATCTTGTGGACTCGGCAAATTTTAACCGGGCTACAATAAATAAAAGACTCGCGGTCGCCGCTACGACACGGCCGCCATGGCCGACGCCGATGTTTGTTTACCCCCCGGCCTCCCCCGACATGTGCGAGGGCGGAGCTTAGTCGGAATCGTCATCAACCTCCTCTCCCGCCTTCGCGCCTCCTTTCTCATGCGCAGAAGACGAAAATGAGCCCACTTGCGAGGCGTATTAGTATAACTGCACGAGTTCTTGGGAGTTTGAGAAATCTAGTTCAGTTGCAATGTGAGCCGGTAGGTTGTTCCAGTCGATTATGGTTCGTGGTATGAATGATCGTGCATAACTAAATGAGCGGCATGTGATGCGCGTCACTTTGAATGAATGATCACGACGTGAAAAGATAATTGGGGGCGTTTGAAAAAAATCGTCGTGAAGCGATGCATGGCATTAGAGCTTGTGAAATAATGACGGACTGGCATGTTTACGGCGGCATGATAGGTCTTGCAACTCAGCCTGATTTTTAATGCGGTGACACGAATATGGAGAGTAGTTGAAACAGGAAACGAGCAGCACGGTTTTCCAGGGACTCTATGTTACTTATAATGTAGGCTCGCTAAGGATCCCATATGGCAGAAGCATATTCAATTTTGGGGCAGATTAGAGTCATATAAGCAAGTGTTCGTAAATGAGCGGGTGCTTGTTTAAGATTGCACTTTATGAATCCTAGGGAACGGTTAGCGGAAGCGAGATCAATCTGGAAGTGCTAGGATAAATCGGACTGAAAGTGGACACCCACGTTCTTATATGTAGAAGTGAGCAACAATATTGTTTTTCAGAAGGTAAGAGGTTGGAATCTGAGTAGAGCATTTGGTAAATGATATGTTTTGTTTTATTACGGTTGAGGGTCATTAGCCACAAAGAACACCACGTAGTTATCTTATCCAGGTTTGATTGGAGAGCTTGGCGATCTGTGTTAGAAAAGATGTTATGGTAGATGACACAGTCGTCAGCAAAAGAACTGACTAAAGATGAAGTACAAGGGGGTAGGTCATTATATGAGAAAAAGTAATGGACCCAGCACGCTCCCTGGGGAACTCCAGATTCCACTTGGGCAAAAGAGCTGGAATCGTTAATGGAGGTGAACTGAAGTCTACTTGAGAGAAAGTATTTTATCCATTAGAGGACACATGTTAAACTGTGCAGGTTTTAGTAAATAGCCTGTGATGCGAGACGCGGTCAAAAGCAGGGTTCGCACAGGTGCTTGAAAACCTTGAAAAACCCTTGAATTTGAAAATGCCATTTTCCAGACCTTGGAAGTCCTGGAATTTGTAGCGGTGCTTGAAAACCCTTGAACTTCCCTATGATAGTCAGTGGTGCTACATTTTTTATAATAAAATAAAATAATGATTTTGACGTGTAAGTTAAAAAAAAAATTTAGAAACTAAAACGAGGGAATTTTTTTATATGGCATACAGCTCAACATATTTGGTTGATACACGTTAAGCGCCTGGCCACAATGGTAGCAGTCCTGGTGGTTCCGGATCCGGCCTCGCCCGTCCGCTTTTTGTGATCTCGCGCCGTCGGTCGCTCACTCGCGTAGTGTTTGCTATTATGGCCCTGGTTTTCTTGTTTTGAGTCTGCTTTACGCAGCACATGGTGGACGTTGTTTAAGCTGTGCGTGATGCCTGGAAAGTGCAACTTCCAGCGGTCGTGATTGGGTCATGACGGCTACAGACACTGGGTTGCGCCGGACCCAGAGAGCATGAATCGGGCAAAATGCAGACCTTGCGGGAAGACGTATGATGTCTCGTCAATGGACGAGTCTGCACTAAAAAGCCACATGAAAGTGCGAAGCACAGTAGGAACACGAAGACGGCAGCAGGCAGCTCTATGAAGAAATATGCGACTCCGTGCTTCAGTGACCGATCAGTCCTCGCGGGATCGAATTGCGCGGGCTCGAATTTTCGCGAACCGTACCACAGCTGAAAATTTGGAATTATTCGCGGGTTCTAATTTTTGCGACTTGAAT